TATCATTCTCCCACTGAATAATTATGATTGTGTTCTATTTTTTTTCTTGTATTTAGTTTTCATCTTGTGTGCTATTGAGAGAGTACATTAATACCTACATCGAACGGAAAAATAGAGGGGCTCGTAGGCCAATTTCTAAAGATCAACAAATCATAGATTACATTTCAACTTTAACAAAAATATTTGCATGTTTCACCAAATTTATGTGGATCCGGTCGTCCAAAAAAAGTACAGGATCTAATAGTAATTAATACTTGTTGTGCATCTATAAAGAGTCGTTCGCACTTCCGGAGAGCATATTAATAATTAATCAACGGAATAATTGTAATTCCCATGCACTACACCAAAAATAGGTATTCCCGTCGGTTTTTTCACACTCGTAGAGGCGGTTATAACCGCTTCTACGATTCTTAAAAGCGGTTGTCCCAACCGCTCCAAGACCGCCTCGCAATGTCGCCGTCTCTACTAAGTAGCGGCAGCTTTTTCAACCGCCGGGAAGTCCGAGGCGGTTTTTTAGGCGATTGGAACCGCCTCAGTAATTGGTTTTTGAGGCGGTTCAAACCGCCTCTACTAGGAAAAGCTCATCCTTAGGAATTTTTAGGGCGTAATTGTAGAGGCGGTTTTGAACCACCTCTACATCCTCGCTTTTTTTTTAAATTTGGCGCGAGATTTATTAGGGGCGGTTGTTGTAAAATATACGTTTTTCTACAATATTTATAGAGGCGGTTCTAATCGCCTCAAAATTCAGAATTCATAAAAAATAATTTTGTAATTCATATTCAAATTTAATTTTTTTTATTGGTCAAAAAAACAAATAAATTACGAAAACATTAATCTTGTTGAATGCAAATTAAAGAAAAATTATCAAATTCCAAATACATAAAAGGTTGTCAAACATTTACAAATAAAAATAAAAAATAAAGTATTAAACATTTGTTTGAAATACATAAACAAAATTCCAAATATATTTTAAATTTAGTAGCTAATGTTTTTATAGAAATGTCTAGACCCTAGCTACATTGATAATCACCGTGCTTTCTTTCCTTGTCATCCGTAGTTCAACACATTCTCCTCGGACTAATGACTCGAGTGGTCGTGAACATCACAAGACCTCAACTTCCTCTACCCGTTAAACTCTCAACGCCAAATAGGCATCCTCTCGTCCGCATGATGGCATTGTTTTAGACCTAATCACGGAACACAAAACACAATTGTCATGAGATTATAAATCCATGTATGTGCGCATCGGAGGGTCTAGAAATTGTGCAGAGACAGCTTTAACATATATCAATACATAATCAAACTTGGAAAAATTTTGTACTCCCGGGAGTCAAATTTATGAACGAGTAAATCACCAAAGTTTCGGATGCGATAGACTAAAAAGTGAGAGGCAAAGTAGAAGTTTCATACCTTGAATCCCTTCGATCACATGTCGAGTCCACGGACCGTGATGTAGCGATCCGAAATTACCATCACCGACCATATTTTAGATATTTTGTTAACAATTGATGGAAGAAGGGTTATGATCTCATAACAAGGTTTATTGAATCGATCATTACGGATATTTTTCATAAACTTGTTTCAATTTTGTAATAGAAAAAAGTATAAAAACTAGGCTCAAATTTTCCAACTTCCATTTAAAAAACAAAAACTATAAGCAAATAAATGATAAATGGTAAAAAAAATTTGACCTTATGCATGGGCTTTAGAATTGAGGCCTTCGGATACTAGTCCCCTCATATGAGTCGGGTTTTGGTCCAAGTCCAAGCATCGATTTCATCTACTCCTCGCGAAATTGGCAAATGCATGCATTAATAGGAAGTAAGATTTTTACTAACGAAGGAAACTAAATGATGTTTATCTGATACGTACAAAAAGTATCGGACACCGGACAACCTTTGAAAATCGGATATATGATAATCCAAAAATGTAAAAAGAAATTATCATGCAAACATTGATCATAGAGGTTCAACAAGAAAATAACAATTAAAATCGAAGAAAATAGATCAACAATAAAATGATGCTAGTCGGTAGAGTATTGGATGAGCCTATCTAGCAATAAGTAAGTACCATAATCCTAGTTTGTCAATAAATCAATGTAGAATTATAAAAACTAAACCATGAGTTATTACTGCGATAACTTCATTTCATTTAGTGGGAATTATAAAGTTACGGAGAGAGTCAATGGCACAAGAGGCAAGACAGTGGTGTAAAGAATTGATTTAGATAGGAGTAGAGCTTTTCAATTACGGAGTTCACCTTTAGAGCTTATAACCAACGATGAACAATAAAGGTAGATTACAGCAACAAAAAATGGTTCGAGTATTCCTATCGTAGATACACCTTCCGTCGGATGTCGCATTCGTAGGTCACATCATGTGGGACCCATATGGAATCCACAAAAACTGAAATCTTAATGGAATGCTAGACAATGGCGATAGCTAGAAATTTTTCTACATGGGAATTCAATTGCTTGTTGTAATTTTGGATGATGAGAACCGTTCCAAATCACAAAAACGACTAAACAGACCTCAATATATAAGTTTTTTTGTAATTTATAATACTCCCAAGTTCATCCTTGAAAGAGGATTCTACATAATAAAAATGCAAGAACCCGTAATAAACCACTGGATTGATGCCATAGCATGACCTTCAAGCATCATGTTCGATACAATTATCTATAGTTGATAAGTTGACTAGTGTTTCTTCTTATGTATTGGTCGGTGTATTTTCTTTAGTATCACAAGGAAGAATAAAGAATCAGAAATTTATAAGAAAAATATATGTTAAAAACTGCATATACAAACACACAAAGGAAACACATTTGACAAGAGTGAATCATGGTGATATATAAGACAACATGTGCAACCTTCAACCCGTTTGCATCATTTTCGATATCTTCCACGAAAAATCGCTTCATTTATATCATCTTGAAAACTAATTTTTATTTCTAGTTCTACTGTGTTTCGCTAAAAAGGGGGGAAAGCATAAATATTTCCCCGTGAATAACATTTGCTTTGCTGATTTTTTCTTATCAAAACTTATAAAGAGCATAAACTCCGAACTTTTTTTGCAAATTTTATTTCAATATTCTAGTATTTATATGCCCACAATCAGTACAATAATAAAAACATCGCACACACATGTATTTGATCCATTCATGGCCATTCTTATTCATTTACAAGACTATTTTGCAAGCAAGACCCCTAGCAAGGGTTTAGAATCATAGTGACTAGCCTAGAAGCCATGCATGCTTAACTTGACTATAGAAGATACACAATTAGGTTTACCTTTTTCTCGCCTCCATCCTTTGATAAAGCCGATGGGTCCACACTCAAGTCCATTGTTCTTATTTGATTTATTCCTGTCAGGAAGATTTTTAAACTCGATATTTGTTGAAGAAATCGAAGTCAATTTCTAAAACCTTAAATCATCATTAAAATGCAAAACGCATTAGCGAAGCAACCGGCAATAGTCCACTCAAAATAGAAAAGTATTAAATGCTATAAACTTCTACGAAGAGAGGTCTAATTATGAAGCATTACATGACTTTTGGTCTCCGGTTCTCGCATTCTCTATTCTTTGGAAGACTATGGTGGCCACTCAACCCCAAAGACCTCCGACCGAATCCATCACAGCTCTTGAAAAATTATCCAAGTTAAAAACCTAATGTGGGGGTTGGTTAGACAAACGAGAGAGATCTTATGTAATGTCAAACTCGTTATCTATACCGATTGGCCACAAAATTAATTAACCATACTTACCTTTACGAGAGATCAATGAGAAATTTTACAATGAGTGCCCAATTGATTTGGAGAGAAGAACGAAGCGAGAGGATACGAACGAAGCAGAGTAGACGAACGAACCCGGAGGAGACGAACGAAGCGGAAGGGAAGAAAAACCCGGAGGAGATGAACGAAGCGAGAGGGAAGAAAAACCCCAAGAGGAGCGGGATAATGCAACGTTTGTATCCCTTTCACAACAAATAAAAAATTGAAAATAAGAAAGAACAAGAAGAGCGAGAACACGCAAGAGGCAAAGGAGAAGAAGATCCGGTGAAGAGGGAAAATTTTTGAGTAGCAGAAGCGGAAGACACAAGAAGTAGAGGAGAAGAAGATTTAGTGAAGAAGGAAAACTTATGTCCGATCTTATCACTTTCAAAACCAAAAGAAATTTCCAATGAAGAATCGAAGGAGAAGGAAGCAACAAATCGAGAGTGGAAAAGAAGCTGGAAACCCTAAGGAAAGGGAAAATGAAACGCCCTTCCCCCTTTTAGAAACAAATTAGAAAAAAAATAATGAAATAAAATTCACGCCTCTTACATCTTGGGACGGTTTTATGAACCGCCCCAAAGGTTTCCTATAAAAGTCCACTTTCGAGTACAAATGCTAAAAGTCTTTGAGGCGGTTTACAATTCTACCCCTATATCAATTTTTTCTTGTAGTGATGGCGATTACTATTTCTTCTAAATCATTTATTTCTTGTGTTCTCTATTCTTTCCTTCTTCTTTGCTCTTTCAACAAAGACAATGCTGTTGAAGGAACGAAACCCTATTTTCATACTCTCAAAATCAATTCACTCCCCTTATTAGACGTCTGCAAGGAATCTTCCGAAGGTAATTCTTGATTTAAATTAAATACATTTCTTTGAAGGAGGTTTACGTTTATATGATTAATTTTAGTATTTAGAGAGCTATATGCATAATCTCTATGATTTAAACATAACCTTCTTCTTCTTTTTTCTTTAAAAATGAATGAAAAATCGTTCGCATTTTGTTTGGGATGGAAAAGGAAGATGTAGGAGAGAAAAGTGATGTGTTTGACTGTTCTTAATAATTTTAAGGTATTTCAGTTCTCAACGAAGGTTCACCATCCCTAAAAGTGGTACACAAGTACGGTCCATGCAATCGACAAAAAACATCTAATCCTCCGCCCCCCTTCGCCGAAATCCTCCGTCGAGACAGACTTCGATTGGACTCGATTATTCAGGCCAGGCGTTCTATGAACTTGGCCCGCAATGTCGAGGACATGAAGAGTGGGATCCCGTTCCATGGTCTATCCAAAACCACTGCAACTGACTATGTTGTCAATGTTGGTTTGGGCACGCCGGAGAAGGAATTTCCACTCTTATTTGACACAGGCAGTGGCCTCATTTGGACTCAATGTAAGCCATGCAAGCCTTGCTATCGAAATGCACCGGTGTTTGACCCAACCAAATCAACCTCATTCAAACCCATACCATGTTCCTCAAAGCAGTGCCAAACAATCGAAGATGCAGGTAATATATATATATATATATATATATATATATATATATATATATATATATATACTTATAAACAATATTGAAAAAAATCAAAAATTAAAATTAAGCCTATATATTTTCCATGTTGCAGAATGCTCCTCTTCGAAGTGCAGCTACAAAATTACATATGTAGACAACGACACCTCCAAAGGAATTTATGCGATGGAAACAATTTCCTTTAAACCATTAAATTATGAATTCAAGAACATCCTGATTGGATGCAGCGATCAAATCTCTGGTGATTTAGATGAAGAAAATTCTGGTGTATTGGGACTGAACCGCGAAACAATATCTTTTCCATCCCAAACTGCTGACAGATACAACAAACTCTTCTCTTATTGTATACCATCGACTCCCAGCTCAACTGGTTACCTTACTTTCGGCAGTGAAGTGTCGAAGGATGTGAAATTCTCTCCAGTGTCCAAAAGAGCACCACCTTCGGACTACGACATCGAAATGACTGGAATTAGTGTAATAGAATACAATAACTATAAAACAATAGAATTAGTTTGTTTTGATGTTTAAGGTCGATCTTTTGTTGCTTCAATGTCTAGTGCAAGATATTATGTTTTATTCTTTGATCATTTCAGCTTTATTTTATTAAAAATAAGTCTAAAATATTTAGTACGTTTATCAAATTTAAAAATATTGTCAAAAAGTTTTTTGATGCACCTATTAAGTCTTTTGAGGTTGATTGAGGTGGAGAGTATTAGGCTCTCACTCAGTATCTTGCTGATAATGGAATCACGTAATGAAGTTCTTACCCACGTACACTTGAATAGAATAGGTGTGTCGAATACAAGCATCGCCCTATTGTTGAAACTGGTTTGGTAATGTTACGTCATACTAATATTCCCTTGCAATATTGGACTTATACCTTTGATGTAGTTGCTTTTACTATCAATCATCTTCCCACACCTACGCTCTTTCATCTGTTCTATATACAGTCCTCTTTAATAAGGTTTTTTACTGTCACTAGCTTAAGAACTTTGGTTACATGTGTTATCCATGACTATGCCATTATGTTGCCAACAAGTTTGATCCTAAGTCTTAACAATGTGCCTTCTTGGGCTATAATAAACTTCATAAAGGATACTTTTGTTTAGATGTTTCTACAAGCAAGGTGTATGTTTCAAGCCATGTTTTCTTCTCTATACATAAATTTCCATTTGCTATAACTGGCCATCTTTCTGCTCCCTCAACAACTCCTAAGTTTCTTCTTAATCACATCAAGCCTCCTCCATTGTTGCATCGACAATCTACTTCTCTTCACACTTGGCCTGTTGGAAGGTCTGATGTCCATTTATCTCCAGCCAGCTCTTCTAGTACATATGTCCCAACCGTAAGTTCAGTTTAACCAATGTGCCTAGTTATTGCACAACCAGAAGCTCAAGTTTCTATTCCACTAGTCTCATCAATAGCTCTTGACCCATCTACTATGCATGTAATAACCCTAGCTTCTATTCCATCAGAGTGTTTTCCCCTACCCTAGTGCCCATAGTTACTTCCGTCTGACCAGTTCCTCTCTAGCCATTCACTACTATAAGATGACAAACTCCAGCTAGCAGTTTATCCCAATTAGGTATCAATATCTTTATAGACCTTATTAATTGTGCATCTTTCTCACTACCCAATTCTACTTTTGTCTCTCTATGACATATGCTACCTCATGTTTCTCTTTAATAAACACGACATCAAATGATTACATGATCTAAAACAGGCTCGTTGAAACCCTAAGCTCTTTCTAATATTGTCAAAGCTCCTATGGATATTCAAACATATACACAAGCTTCTAGGTCTAGTGTCTGGCTCCATACTGTGATAGAAAAAATGTTTGCTTTGATTGATACTTAGGTTTTAGTTTTAGCTCATTCAAATTAAAATATTATGGGTAACAAATGGGTTTACCAAGCAAAACATAAGGTTGATGGTAACATTGAATGCCATAAGGCTCGTCTAGTTGCTAAGGTGTTTCACCAATATTTTGGTATTAATTATACACTTTCTCTCCTGTTATCAAGCCTGGCACCGTGCATTTAATCTTCTCCTTAGCCTTTTTAAAAAATTAGGGAGTCGCTTAATTGGATGTTTCAAATGCCTTTTTACATGGGAAGCTTGATGAACATGTATTCATGACACAACCTTAAGATTTTATAGACCCTCAGAAGCCTAATCATGTCTGTCTTCTCAAACATAGTCTTTATGGTCTCAAACAAGTTCCACGTTCATGGTTTAAATGTCTTTGTCATGCTCTACTCTCTCTTTCTTTCAGTGGCTCCAAGGTTGAGACCTCTCTATTTTATTATCAGAAATATGATATTCTTACTTGCTACTTAGTATATGTTGATGACATGTTATTAACAAAGAGTTATCCTATCTTTCTGAGTTTTGTTATTGCTGCCTTGAAAAGGTCGTTTTGCTCTCACAGATCTTGGCCTGTTGTATTATTTCCTTGGCATTAAGACCACATGGATGAACACCAGCCTTCTCCTCACTCAATAAAAATATATTGAAGATCTCTTTCTACAGTCCAAAATTCAAGATAGCAATTCAATAGCTTCTCTAGTATGTCTAAAATTGAAACTCTTTTACATCTAGTGATGATTCCTTCACTGATCCTTCGTTATATAAAAGTGTGGTGGGCAGCCTCTAGTACCCACGCTAACTCAACTAGATGTTTCTTATGATGTGAATAAGACATCGCAATTCCTGCATTGTCCTATTAATAATCATTGGCAAACTGTTAAACGGATCATACGCTATTTGAATGCCACACAAATACATGGTTTTTTCTTCAACCTGTCTCTTCTCTTCATCTGTCTACTTATAGTAATGCTAATTGGGATGGAAGTATTGATGATAGGAAGTGTACTACTGGTTATGGCATCTCTATATATTTGGGTACAAATCTTGTATCTTATGCTCGTATAAACAACACACCATCTCTAAATCTTCAATAGAGGTCAAGCATAGGGCTTTGTCTATTATGGCATCTGAGGTACTATGGATAAAATCATTGCTTGGTGAATTAAAGTTCTTGTCATCATCAGCTCCCCATCTTATGGTGTGATAAATTGAGTGCTACATACTTAACATGTAATCTCGTATTTCATTCGTGTTCCAAGCACTTGGAAATCGACTTTCATTTTATCTGTGATCATATCGATAAGAGCCATATTTTATTAAGGCATATCTCCTCAAAGGATCAGATAGATGACTGTCTAACTAAGGTTCTTTCATGCCAACATTTCTAATTCTTACGAGGCAAGTTGACAGCTCAACATTTCCCTATTCAACTTGAGAAAGGGTGATAGGATTGTAAGTTGATAGGAGTTGTATATAGAATAGAAGTCTAATCACTATTTGTACTTATCAGATAGACTCTCTTTAACCTATATATACATCAATATAAAGGACTCTAATGGTGTGTGAATTAACCAAAGATCAAACATCTTCAGTTCAATTCCTAACTTAAGCAACCAAGGTTCAATCATTAGTATAGCAGTTTATTTTACATTTAAATTTGAAAAAAGTGGGATAATAAGATTCAAATTCAATGTAGTAAAGAATTATCTTGATCTAAGAAATTATACTACTACATGATGTTTTTTTAATCTTTTTAATCTCATGTGCTTCAATAATTAGCGTATGATGTTGATTGAGATGGATCAAATCTATGTTCTTTTTCATTTCACATATTCTCCGCAGTTAAAAGGAAGGAAAAAAAGTGTGAAAATTGAGTGGAAGTTCCTCTTAAGGAAATTCACACTATAGAGTGGAATCATGGTATCCATAGTTTCATCTATAATTACTCGACCCAATATATAAATAGCGTGTGACAGGATTTCAGTTAATATTCTAGCAACAAGTGATAGGTGGACGGTCATGTTAGATCATCTTGATACATGTTTAAAAAAAATAATTTGTTTCCTTTTCTTAGTTTTATTTTATTATTTTTATTTTTAAAAATTAAAATTAAATGTTTTTGACACATGTCACTATTATTTGAGGTGACAGTCCATCTGTGGCTTATTGTCGAAGAATTAATCGAAATTCTATTGGAGGGACTACTTTAAAAAAAAATGCCTAGAATAAAATGACAAAATAAATAAATAAATAAAATAAGGAAAATACGTTAAGAAAATGTAAAAAATAGATACAAACTATGCGAGTAATTCTTACTATTGGATTACTTAATTGGATATTTTGCAACAAAAGATGTGATTGTACTCTTCTAATTAATGGGGTGTGAAAAATATTCTTGCAGTTTTGACTTTGAGATATATCATCTAACAATATATATACATACACACATTCTTTATGTCCCAAAATCATAGTTTTTTTTTAACCTTTTACAAATTAAGAAACTTATTAATTATAATGCCATATCAGAATTTTAAAAAAATACTTTCTTAAAATCCATTTTTTGTTGAATGAGAAAATATATTCAATTTAATCTTGCATTACAAAATAACATATTAATGAAAATATTTATTCTCAAAATTTCAATAGTCCCTGCAGGATTTTAAGTCAAAATTTTTAAACATCTAATTAAACTCTACTTAAATTTCCCGCAAAATTTTAAGCCAAAAACTTAGTCCCAAAATTAAGGGCACAAGTTAAAATTTTTGTCCCTTCCAAATTTAATTTAAATTTTTAAAAAGATCTAGATATCATTAAATCTTTCTAAATTTTCCACAAATTTTTTAGAAGAAATAATTAATTTTCTTTATCAATTGGTGATGTTGTTTAAAAGTATAGCATTAAAAAAAATTGATCAAACAAGAATTTTGAAATAGATATAAATAGAAAAGGGATAATCTCTTTAGAACAGAAAAAATATATATTTTTGATCCATTGGTTTAGTATTGCTACATTACTGATGACTTATCGTTGGTGGAAGTTTTAGACTTTAGTCATGTTTTTGGTGTTTGTTTGGGTGTTGTAGCTTTCCTACTGTTCACATCCATTTTGATTGTTGTTTTACTAGCTTTCCTAATTTCATTCTTCAAAAAAAAAATGTCCTTGATTTGTCCAAAAAGAATAAGAAAATCTCGGAGTCTCACATGAATGGGAGTTATTATGAATATTACTTTAAATGTACAATTGAAAAGCTCTTCTTTTTTTCTTTTTTTTTTATGTGGCATTAGAAATGTGATACAAGTTGAGTTAATCTAAAAAATAGTAAAATTAATTATTATTGATACAAAAATTGGTCAATATATCTCATTCTTTGTAAATATCCATTAAAAAAAAAAAGCACAAACGTATGACCCATCAGTGCGCCACTACCTCCAACGCACCTAGAAAATCACCTTGCGTCCCAGTCCCACCACCACCAAAATTACATCATTCATCAAACCCACCATAAATCCCAAACTACCACACCATCACTACTTAACTCCACGGCAAAGCACTAGACCACCACCATTCACAGCCAAATGGCCACAAATCTCCATAGACCCACCAAAAATAATCTACCAAGGCACCAGTCATTTGCTCAAAATAGAAGACGAATAGAAAGA